AACAGTGATGTTATATATATATATATATATATATACGGTGAACACGTAAAATTCACTCAAGAACAAATCTGCTAAAGAAACATTCCAATTGGTGAAGTGAAACGGTGGCCCATTCAGCCCCTCACTGTTTCGCAAACCGCTTGAAGCTTGCCGTATAACTGACGGAAGGCAGAAGTTCGCTGCAAACACTTTTTGGCACTGTACACCGAGGTGAAAGTTCACGAGACGGTTGACAACTCCTGTTGCTGTTATCAGAGAAAATACACTCGTAGGTAATTTACTAGCTCTGTTAAATGACTCGATTCCCCCATGAACCAAAAATTTTCGTTTTATCTTCGAATATAATTCGTGAAAGTATATTGACGGTCTCCATGACGCACCTTTCAAAGTCCACTCTTGGGGTTGGTTTTATTACCCATAGTATGGCGGGTGACGCGACAATACAAAACGCCACGTTGATTCTATTCTCACTTTCACTCCCAAACAAGATTTTCATTTATTCTCCATGTCACCTAAACCCACCGTTCAATGGTTAGGACAGGTTGAACAGAGGAGCAGTAATTCTAGAGGTGTTGATAAAAACGGACTCAGATAGTACATCTGAGTGAATTTTTTACTGAAGGACAACGTGGACTTACCAATACTCAAATCGCTCCAAAACTGTGCCAGATATTTAAAAAGGTAAGTGGGTGAAGAAGCTATTTCATCAATGCTGAAACATCTTCACCAAGGGCGAGCTAATAATAGAGGAATTTTCAAAAGTACACCCTACTGCGCAACCCAAGTTTCTCCCTGTTGTAACAGTCGCAGGTGGAATTTTTTTTCTCGGCTTTCAGAAGTGATCACACATTTTCCCATACTAAAGGGGTTGACCAGCAGACAAAGTCCAGCCAAATCAGTCGCCCAAATTAATATGACAAGCTTTATTTGAGGGTTAAAACTACAGATCACTAAACCCAAGTTGCCCGACCTGTCTGCCACTCATGTCAATTGGCAGTACATGTGCAGCCGCGGTGAACGGACAAGTGTCTTTCACAATGAACGAACGACCAGTTAACAAACCACCTACTCAGCGTAATGCGTAACGTAACAGTCATCGAGACGGCAGTTAAATCGCACGACTAGTTTTTATACAATGACAAGTGCATTCAAACCATGCGACACTTGGTTGACCTCATTCACTCAACCCTCGTCGTACTGCGCAATTCGAATGGCATTCGGTGAAACCTCAGTGAATACAAGGAAGCTGTCGACTCTAACCATGATACTAACCACAATTCAGTCCCGTATTAAATGAATCTGTCCGCCTTCTATGCCCCCCCCCCATAAATATGCACGTTTTATGTAGACGACTGATGAGAGAGGAAGTATTATCCCTCCATTTACGCCTTCTCACCCTCCACGTCAAACACATTTTTCGTTTTTAATGAAGAGACACACTGTTTTTTCCAAAGTCCCTTATCTCACTCAGGCAAAAAGACCGGCAAATGACAAACTTCGAACTTTTTTCGGAGGTTTTTCTCTCTGTGTGTAAACACTAGCTGTATAAGCGTTGCAACAAAGTTGCTCGGATTCTCGGAGGTTAAACCAAGGTGGAGAGTTATTGTAATTGCCCATGCCCCAAAGTAGATAACTTTTCAAGTTTGCCAAAGTCCATGTTAAGAATGCTGAAGTTTTTGATGCATCTCGTTTGACGAAAATCGCAAATAAAGCACAAGGTAAACAAATACATCGTCCAGACAACATCCACCTGGTTATTAGTCTCCTCAACGAATAACCACAGTGCTCGGCGTGATTTTGCCACTAACTGTTCCATGATAAATGTTCTACCTACAGCAAGGCCACGTGAATTCTCCAATTTCATCAACCAACAAACATCCTGGTACACTTGAGCCTTAGAGCTAGACCATAGTTTATAATTTCGTAACGGTCGTTTTTCGATTTCACATTCATACCAAAGTGAATCAGTGCACTGAACTAACTTGTTTATATCATGGATATGAAGCGTGTTGTTGTGTTGTTTACAGTGATACCGTGATAGAAAATCTGTTCCTTATTGGTATGGTAGGTTATCAGAAACGGTAGAACGGAAGTCGTGCCATTGATTTAAGTCCTTAATAGAACTACCATCAAACCACCTAACTTGGTTGTCTTTCACTTCCTGAAGATTCGCACACAAATCAATGCGAAAATTGGAACGAGTAGTTTCTTAACAAGCTTTTCAAGACAAGTATATATGACTTGCCCAACGTCTACCGATAGTCCCCTCACTTAGTAATTCTGTGGGTTTACCTGGTGCTCTTAGAATGTGAGCCAGACTTTGCGAGCGGTTATCCCCTGACCCACTAGAAATAAACAATGAGAGAGGAAAGTAACTGAAAATCATTCTTTAAAAGTAACTACGCAATGCCTCACAAATCCAAAAGGGAAAATTAGGTCAAATTCGGCACACGCAGAAAACCGCCTGAAGGAATCGAAGTCAATATAGATACTACCATTTGCTCACCAGTTAGTGATAACTTTCAAGCGCGGATATTTTCATATCTTTGAGTATACACTGAAACGTCACAAGAGGATAATTAGCTCAGCCCTGTATTGATGCAGGTCCGTTTATAAAGGTTTCCATGGAAATCTGACACTTTGAGTTGAGTTGAGCTTGACAATCGGTTTAGAATTTAATTTTTGGTTTGTTCTGATAGAAGCCAAATTTAATGTAGTAACTTTGAAGCAACTTCTTTGTTCGAATGGTACACTACGACACCATCTCTAGAGTTCTACAGACTATACTGCGCACTCAACGTGGGAAAACTACTGGACAGCAAAATTAGAAGTGCCTAGCTTCCTGCGCTACTCATCTGAGTAGCACTATTTTCAAGGAAGGTTACATAACTGTAGCCTCTGTTGGTAGCGTGAAGATGATGAAGAATTCGTTCTGTAAGTGGAACCAACCTGGACCGGGAAGCCGAGAAGCACCATACAGCTGTTTCACCCTTATTGGGACTCACCAGAAATTCCAGAGCTTCGAACCCGCAACATCCCGGCTAAACTGAACGTTCGGCCACGAGCGGCTAGTCAGCAGTGTAACTGGCTTGCACCTAGACAGAATGTAACACCACCCAACCTTGATTAATAGGATCCACATCATGCAGCCACACGTGACAGCTGGCTTCTCGAATGGCGAGCTCTCAGATGTAAGCTTCACTGAGCTAATTGTAGATTGTTCCAATTGTCTAAGTGCGATCTACTTACACTGCTAACCAGCCCCTTGTGGCCGAACGGCCGAGTGTTAAAATTACTAGCCGAGAATTCGCGGGTTCAAGACTTTGGAATTTCGTGAGGTGCGCACCACTGATGATTACCAGTAAGGGCAAGACCGCTGAAAAGTGCTTCTCGACTTTTCCTGTGAGATTGGCTTCAAGTAAAGAGTAAAATCTCCAAGTAGTTTTTCAAGCCTCCTGACATTACCAGTAAACGCTTGAATTCAGAAAGAAACGAAAAATGAGGTTAAGACAGATGTAGCTCGCTCAATAAGAATTGCAAAATCCAGATGAAAGGATATAAAACCAAATTCACCATAACAGGATTTATTATTTCACCAATGTGCTACTGTACATAGATGAATAGATAGATAGAGAAGCAAATGGATGAAAACCAATAAGTTGCTCATGAAAAGGCATTTCTACACTGCTACCGTTTCCCGAAGGCTTAAAACACACTCAATCTGTAGTACTTCAACTTTATGGACGTTTTCTTAGGGAAAAATAGGTTTTACCTCAGATACCGAAATAAATCTGTCCCCTGTATTCAGTTTCACAGTGTTTGAGATGAATTTACCGTGGCTAAGTTGCCATCTTCAAGAAAGCTTACTATTTCAGAGTGACACCATAATACACTGCAATACGAATATCATTAGGCTTTATCCGTGCTGGCAACCTGTTACCATACTTAGTTCAACCCAACATGGTCTTTATCCATGTGCATTTAAAAACCAACTTTTGGGGGTTGCTTTCCAGGATTGTACACGCAACATTTCCTTTGTGTTATATAAGTAACTGGTGGATTAACTTTAATTTTAGAGCCAATTTAGTGGTGTTCCTGTTACTATCCAAACTTTGGTTGTTCCACCCGAAGCTTCAAAAACGGTCTCAAAATTCTGTAACTACGCGCAGACATCTGGATGGCCAAACAGAAGACTTGTTTGGGTTTCAGATGGAGGATGTGATAACTTACCTTAAGATTTAAGTCCTTGAAATTGTTATCCAACAAACGCAGAGTCAACAAAGGGACGTACACCCCAGCATAGCTTTCTCCAGTGATGTAAAAATCGCGTCCTTTGTACTGTGGGAACCTTTCCATGAAGTTCAGCAGCGCGTGGTAGTTTGTTATTGCAGTCTAGGTTTCGAAAAAATGGAGAGGCTTTTCAATTTACCATCATAAAAATAGTGCAAACGCCATCAAATAAGAGCTTATTAGAAATACATAAAATACGCTCACTCGTAAACCAATCTGGTTTCTACAGTGAACTGAACCAGCAGATCCAGCTGAACCTCTTTTTTAAGATGTTCTTCAACCGATGTGCTGGTAAAAGGTCGCCTCATATTTCAGTTGGCACGACATTCGAGATTCAGGACGTATCACTGATAAGTTTTCAGTACACCCAGGTGTCATCAACGGGAGATTCTGCTGCAATTCACTGAGGCCTCACGTTAAACCCAAACTGGTGTGCATGTGAGTGTTTCGCGAATTGCATCCAGTTCCGGTTTAAGTTGTCGGAAACTCAGAGAGTGCACCTGGCTGGTGAGCTCCAAAAACGACAAAACCAGTTTTCAATCAAATCATTAGCCTTACTAGAAGAATTTTAAAACGGGCTGCATGACTACAAAATCCGAGAGATCACGCATGACAGAAAACAGAATAGAAAGCCAAAGATATCTTAAAACAAGTTGTGAACCATGGAATGTCTGAAAACTTACGAAATCGTCATCAGTAGTCAAATTTCTGTCTTTCACGTAGGAGAACCCGACACCCCCTGGGGACTCCAAATACAGAACATTGGCGAACTGAGAAATCCGGAAAGGATAGGAGGGCGTAATCAAGTGTGTCATTATACATACACCAGTATTTCACTGGTGTTGGTCCATTTTTCATGCTCCCTTCAAAATGGATGCTTGGTGTGTGAAGAGTGACTGTAAACAAAATGTAGCATGTACGGTAACAACTGTCATGCACACTTCATCGTCTACTGAGTCCCAAACTGTAGGTCTGCACGACAGAACAAAGCTTGACCAAAACAAGTATCGCATCTGTTTTTATTAAAAACTTTTTTTTGCAGCAAACCAGAGAAAATTGAAGCAATTACGGGGTACGAGTGAATATAATGAGAGTAAATTACGTCGAAATACCAATCGTTTTCTACAAGCAGTATCCTATGTAGTTTTGATCTCGGTGACAGTACAAGAAATTGTCAATCTGGTTTATTCTATTTCGAACGCAAAATTAACCGTGAACATCTTATAACCACCGCAGGTGTTGAAAACATCTCCGCCCATGTTTCGTTTGGTTTTCACAGAAATTCAGCTGAAGTTCAGAGTGAATTTCCAAATCATTCTGCCGATCATTTCTCGGCATTGTATCAAAATGTTTATCAGTCGTGACACAGCAACCAGACAAACTGGAAGTATATACCTTCTCCTGTTATATCCAGCCCACACTTCGGTGGCACATGTGGATCGAAATTTTTTAACAGCTACCAAATCAGGTTTATAGACCGTTAAATAGACACGACTCAGATAACAGGGATCAAAACACAATACTGACAGGATACGCAAACCCGTGTTCTTTTTCAAGGTTTTCGGGAATTTAGATCATCCTTTCAAAACCCTGAACAGTCCTAGTACCTGTGAACTCACACCGCTAGGGTGACGGAACTGAGAAGCTGCAACAGTCATTCAAAATGTTGACTGTACGCTACCTGAAAACGGTTTTACATAACGACTTCAGGACAGCCAACAGAGGGTATCAGAGTCAACCACACTACGTAAACAGTGTTATTTCGCGGTGTATCGTACAAATTTCCTGTGCTAATGAAGCTGTGCTTTTATTAAGCTACGTACAGCCGAGTCGAAACTGTTTCTTCGAGGAATTCTTCGGCCGCAAACGGTGTAACGTTCGCTTTTCCAAAGTTAAGGTTACCAGAATTTGACAGGAAGAGTTTAGGGAAAACGTCCGCCGAACACAAAAGCTCTCATCTATTAGCGCATTCTACGCTAATGGCACGTGTTCTTTTCCACACTATCTGCACTGTCATTGTTCGTTGAGGGATGAAATATATTGATACACTGGTTATTATAGGAAAACTGCAAACGCAGAGGGAGGTTCTAACCTGACTAGAATTAAGCATGACATCAACATGTACCTAGGGCAAGTAAAGGCTAAATATGGCCGACGACTGTGGAATGTAAATACATCGAAATCGAATGGATTTAAAATATTCTGAAACTGTCAAAAGCCTGCAAAAAACTACCCATATATGCCAAAATGTGAACGTGTATGACTCGGAAGCAGTCTAAATAGTTTGGAATTTGTTCAAGCCATATCAGCTGCCGATAAACCAAGTTAGCGATTCTATTGAAATGGTCAATGTTCTTCATTCTATCCATGTTATTAACAATACCAGTCATTTTTTATTCAATGAATGATACAATTTTCCCTCACTATTTCACCACTTTAAGTGGCAGTAATTCGCTAGAATACGAAACATCGTCACTCTAATTGACAGCATTACTGGTGACCGACATGATCCTGCAGCCGATTAGTTTGCATTTCAAAAAATGTCAATAGAAGCACGGTCTCTCCAAGAAAATCCACCATAGCTTATGTTTTCTCACACGACGTTGAGAATTGTACGCCTCTCAAACTACGATTAACTGTCAGTGTCAACCATGGATCACCCGTGAGAATTCACAGAAAACCCACATGCTTGCAAGGGTGTTACCATTAATGGTCCTTGCATTCACACTAGCCACAGGAATGGCGAACGAATTCTCGTTGATTAGAGTCAAGAAGCTATGCTTTAAAGAGAGCGTATGACCTGATTAACCGGGTCAAATTAGAATGATACTTCAAAACGACCAATGTCCTGGGGGATCATTAGCTGACACTACGAACAGAAGCAAAGCAAAGAGGTAGAAATACAGTGGTCACGGTACACATATAGGTGTGGAGATTTCGTCCTGTAAGTGAAACCAATCTGTGCTGAAAAGCCGAGAAGCACTGTAGAGCTGTTCCATCCTTATTGGGAATCATCAGCAGTGCGCATCTCACGAAACTCCGGAGAGTCTCGAACCCGCAACCTCCTGGCTAGTAGTCTGAACACTTAACCATTCGGCCACGACCGGCTGATCAGCTGATCAGCGGCGTTTCAGCACAAGTTGGCTTCACTTACAGGACGAAATCTCCACAAAAATCCAAAATCTCCTCACAGTACCAACAATCTATAAGTAGCTCACTGGAAGAATAAACTTCACCCGATGAATGAAACTTCCTCTGAGAAGTCGTTGCTCGAGGAGCCAGTCAACCGCGTGATGTGGATCCCGTGATTGAAGAATGAGCGGCGCTGTATCCTGTCTAAGTGAGAGTTAATCACACTGCTGATCAGCCGCTCGTGGCTGAATGGTTAAGTGATCAAAGCCAAGAGGTCGCGGGTTCGAGACTCTCCGGAGTTTCGTGAGATGCGCACTGCTGATGATTCCCATTGAGGATGAAACAGCTGTACAGTGCTTCTTGGCTTTTCAGCACAGATTGGCTTGACTTGCAGGACGAAATCTCCACAAAAAGCTAAAATATCCTCACATTACCAACACGTATAGGTATTTATCCCCTGGCCCATCTGAAATATATTACGGTAGTACTACATAAAACAACCCTCCCAGATCGATGAAGTTTACATCATCAGTTTCAAGAACCAACTGCCCTATCGGACAACTTTTAGAATGTCAAGTCACGTTTATGGCCTCAACAAATAGACCACTAGAAAAAACCACCAAGGATAAACGGCATGCGCAATTAAGTCCAGAAAACTATGCCAGTTGCGAATAACCCTGAAACTGAATCACTGATTGCAACAGATTCACATGAGTATACTCACGTGTACACTCAAGAGTATACTCATATGTTGTAATTTGATAGCGTTATACTCTCCACTCGGAACTCACGTCAAATCAAGAACAGAACTACATTAAAGGATTATATACGAGCACCCATCGTAATTAGGTCAACCCTTGTGATGACATATATTCCCCGTTTGTCTGGCTTAGGCTTAAGAAAACATAGGTGTACGCGAAGGCCTGGCTTTCAACAATGACATGAAAATGACCTTAGCTAGTGGAGCAGCTGACAGTGGACCACCACAGTTCATTAAATGTCACAAGCTTCATTCATAACTACTGAACAGGGAGCGTAATTAAGCGAACTTTGGCGGTCTAACACTGATCTACATCAGCTTTAAGATTAGTGAATTTGGTTGTTCATCGGGTTGGTGTTGATCTGTTCACCGAGTTTGGCAATTAACTTGTGAACGTTTCGTCACTAAACAAGAGGACATGATCAGCGCGCACAGAGTACACCAGAGACTGAATACAAAGACACAATTCTCGCCTTCTCGACCGGCCTATGTTGTTTTACTAACCAAAACTACGTGGAAACATCACAAACGAGAGGTCAAACTGGGTTCCAGGTGAGTCTCCTGCAAAAACCTAATTTGTTTGCAAATGAGCGTATTTTGTTATTTGGATTGTTCACCAAGACTTTTTTCTTCATAAAGAAAACTAGTCATGGTTGGATGCAAACACACATCTCAAAGTGATTATAAAATTTAGAAATAGACGCTTAATCCGAGTTTGTTCTGGAAACATCATATTGTGCTAATAATAGGCCCCGACGTATTTTCACGTTTATCCGTTGTTCAGGATTGATCAAATCAGAGAGAACCCTATAAGTGATATCAACGATCCTGTTGCCTGTCAAACAACATGAGTGCCACTACGGAAACGAACATCTTTCCATGAACCATGTATTGTGTTGTATTTGGCTCTTTGAATTGTTTCACTTTGTTTACGTCATTGAGAAAATGACTTCCGTCAAAATACTCCCTTTGAGGAGGCTCATTTTGGAGATTGAATCTTCATGATACTGACATCGTCATGAACACTCTGAGTTAAAGCAGCAACAAACCCAGCATAAAAATCTACTTAACATTAGAGTTTAGTCTATGCACCTTCGTTTTATTAGGTATATGTCTAACCATTTTAAATTGTGAATACCTCTGTAGTACAATCAAAAACCCCACAACCTCCGAGTTCACAACGAACAGAAAGCAGCATATTGTGAGTAGATATATTGACGCAAAACTTTTAGGGTTTTGAGCATTCTAATCTTTGGCCGGATATAAACCCACACTGTTTACTAGCGGTTGAAACTGCTTGCCAGTATATGACCCCAGGTAAAAAATGACGTGGTCAATATAATCCACATACGCGTAGACGGACTTAACACATAAATCTAACAGCGACTTACTCGGTTCCATGAGTATGGATTGTTTTCCAGAACCCCTTGTTTTCTTACCTTAAAAGGGAATGAAGTAAAAGTAAAAAATCAAATTTAACGTAAGCAATTTACCAGTCCTTTCCGAAAATAGATGTCAGGAAACTCATGATCGTAGCAGGTGTAAGATTCAAAAGACATAACAAGACGTTTCGGTTAAAGGAGGCCTATCAGAAGGGATTGGGAAGCTGCGATCACGTCGGGTTTTATGACGTCATCGCCACTTATAAGACCCATATGGTAACAAACAAGTGACAAGTGTTGCGAAATTACCAGAAAATCAGAAGCTTACAACAGGTTATGACAGCTGAGAACACAAAATTACAGCAAGTTATCAGTAATTGGAGTGATAGAATACGTCCACGCTATTCAGCAGGTGGTACATAAGTGCTTCAATAAGCGCACGCTGCTGATGCGTCCAATAAGAGATGAAACAGACGTACATTGCTTCCTGGCTTATCAGAATAGAACAATAGCTCAAACAAAGGTGTTCAGAGTGTTTCGTGTCGCCTATATTCCGTAAATCACGAATGCATAACCTGAAAACTGTGTCGGATATTGCACGAGAACAAAAGTTTTGCGTCCAAAGCGACAGGACAGAGAAACTACCTAAAGTTTGGTAGCACGTTTCACAATGAAAAATGCGCGTCAAAAATAAGTACAATATTCTCTCTGTTCATGTACTTCAACATAGATTGAAACGATCTTTTCGCACGATGAGTCCGACGAAACGGGTAAAACCAACCAAAAACTCGTGAATTTACAATTTACCCTGTTGTTTTTATACTCAAAGAAATAGAGTTTGTTGGTGTCCAACCCCACTGATTAAACTTAATGGATTTGAAAATCCGATAAAAAACCACAAACTCACAGTAAACCAAAGAGTTTTACATGTTACCACGAATGAAAGCCACATTTCTGTGCTTCTTCCAACAGGCACCTAAATTAAATGGAGCGCAGGAAAAACTTACTTCAAACTTACTGAACATTTTGTTGTTTATTTTACAAGCTCTGTAACAGGCTGAAAGAATTCGGCTAAATATGATTAATGAACACCGACATAAACGGCGAGTGGGGATAGAGATCGGATGTTACTACTTTAGTACCACGATTCTCTTACGAAAGCATCCCAGATAATATATCTCGAATCAGAGGAGCCACCTTGAAACTACTCTAGATACCTACCGTGACACCAGACATATGGACCAAATCACCCCAATGCTTTGTGTAAAAAATGCTCTCATGGTTGTATGCTTGTATGGTTTGCCCAAGTCAGTTTTCTAGACAATACGCTCGCAGTACGCCGGTACTTCAGGATCATCCCTTCACTCATGATGAATGATCCGTACTCAGCCCTGGGTGGGAATTAAACGTATTGCCATCAAGCGCGTTTGACTTGATATCATGTTTCACAAGTCTCGGAAGTTTCCCCAACAACTACGATTTATTTGCAGTTCCTACGCCCCATCACCTCATCAAACTACTGAATTTGCTTCAGCTATTCAGTTATCAACCATGTATCAAAGTACCAAAGGTCACCAAACATTTGGTAGTCTTAAAACGGGTCTCCTTCTAGAAAGACGGCTGTTACCAGACGTAACTAAGTTAACTGCTAAGGGCTATGAAGCCACGGATTGACAGTCCCTGGGCAGTCTTGACTGGACACATGAATGCACGAAGAGGAGTCTGTGAGGGTAATGGTCCTCTTGCATATAAAACACAGCTCAACTGGGGCGAACTATGCACTGAGCCAGTTGGCCTAGCGAGGGAGTTATCTTCCTGAAAATCATGTCGTACCTCTGTATTATTGATCCTAGCTTCCAAGCAGACCCAAGCGACGTCTCGGATACATCGACACAGTTTTCGAAGATAAACCAACTCTAGCCCTAATACCTTCGCGCGTTTGAAAACAAAAAAATAACTAATCTAGCGAGGCTTGAAGAAACTCACTAAATTTCCAAGGGTGACCAATACACCTAAAATATAACCGAGGCACAACACAACCCCGATGGCCAATACTAAACATATCTGTGACAATAATCTCGTGCGCCAGGAATATCGCTCAAGGCATGGAATCCTAGGCTCAGAAATGTACATAGCGAAGAAAGCTACTACAGGACGTAACTTTCCAATGATAACAGCATATACAAACGAAACACTATACAGAGGTGTGCTGATAGGCAAGCGGATAAACACCCGAAAAGTACTTATCGAAGTCAACCTAGATGTACGGGGTAGACGCGATATTCGTTTCAGTCCAAATGCATGAAATATAAAGTTTTACACAAACATCCTAAATCTGTGAACCAAGCCATGCGCCGAATGTCCAGGAGCGTGCTACCAAACACCGTGATGGTGATCGAGCAGCCCCAGCGGCCTAATTGTGTGAAAGAAAACTAATAGAGCTATTATCCTGTTTTGGAATTTACGACAGGCCAAACATCTTTCCTATAAGACTTTCAACGAAATTATGGAGTGAAAATGTCACTCACAGTAAACGGGCCATTTTCCGTCATAAGCCCGCCGAGAGATGAGCAGCCTGGGCCTCCATTCAGCCACAAGAGTAAAGGTTTTTCGTCAGGAGCCTGGGTAGCTTCAACCAGCCAGTAGTGAAGCTGAATGTTGTCAGTTTCACCACTCAGATACCCAGAATATTGTTTGAAACTTGGCTGCTCGCTTAAGCCAGGGAGGTATGTGATCGCGTCCCTTTGTGCGGCTTCCGTAATTTCCGTGCACGAATCGATTCCACGCACTGTGCTCACGAATCCATACAAGACTAACAAAATTAGAAAAAACATTTGAAGAAGAAAGCGACAGCACTCAAGTTTCATATTGGCTGACTGCGTTCAACCTTCAGCAATACCTCGGAAAAACAAAGCCTACCTTCACAATCGGGTATAAAAACAGAACGGTTCACTAAAAAGTATACAACCAAGGCAATCGAGGTAGTTTCCGTATCTCCGCCAGAAGACTCTTCTATGAACAGAAATCTATCCAAGGATGTGTCGGAAAAATCCAACACGGTAGATGGTATATTCACGGATTCACGGATTCACGGATTTACGGATTGATACTAAGGACCGAGGCTTTTGCTCAAGATTCCCAGGACGGCTTCGTTCTTGTCTGTCAGTGGCTGTCGTTGACCTGAAAGGCGCCCAGGACGGCTTCTTGTCTGTCAGTGGCTGTCGTTGACCTGAAAGGCGAAGTGAAAAAAGGGTGTAGCACTGCTCTTTATGTTCTCAGCGAGGGGCAGTATTCTTGCCAGCGCGAGGATTCGCATAAATAACAGTGATTTAAACTGGGTTCTAGAAGGAGCGTGAACAACCGTCTGAGTAAGGTCATTCCATGCAGCTACTACCCGAAATGAGAAAAATTTCGTCTAATGCATGTGTGTGCTCTGAGCTTGAAACTTTTCTCACTATGTCCCCGCCGGTGTTTGTTGGGTCAACGGTAAAAAACCTGTTTGCCAAGCTTTGTTCAAACAGGGCATAAGAATTAGGTCCCCTCGGAGGCGACGGTACTCTAGGGGAAAGAGATCAAGCATCGCGAGACGCGTTTCGTAGTCCACGGATTTGAGGCGGGCAACCATTCTCGTGGCGGCCCGCTGGACACGCTCAAAGAGGGTGACGTCTTTCATGCGTCCTGAGTAGACAACTTGGTTGGCGTACTCCAGGAGCGGTCTGACGTAGGCCCCATAGAGTATTTGGAAGTCCATGCGAGTAATACGGGAGAAGGTGCGCCGGATCATCCGTAAAATGGCAGAGGCCTTTTGGGCCGGTTTCTCATGATGCAGTGAGAAGGACAAGTTTGAGGAGACCCAAATGCCAAATCCTTTTTGGCATCTATCCACATGACGTTTTCTGTTCTTCTTTCACCATGCATAACAAAGGCATTCGCTGTATCCCCTCCAAACGACATATGGATGGACTTTTCGTCATTCAGAGGAAGGTGCCAGTCCAACGACCACTGCTTCGCAGCGCCCACATCCATTTGGAGGGCACTGGCATTGGAACTCCAGGATTTCAAGTCGCCGCAAAAAGTAGACGTGGACTCGCAAGAACCTCTGGGAGGTCGTTGACGTAGAACGGAAACAGGAGTGGTCCCAAGACGGAGCCTTGAGGAACTCCAATGGAGACCGGCGCTGGAGAGGAGTAGGTCGAGCCTATTCTCACTCGGAATGATCTGTCTGATCTGTCGCCTTAATCCAGCGAAGGATTTTCCTATGAATCACTTAACTTTTGGTTCAGTCGGCTTCTCTCAACGTACAGGCAGAGAAGAAATGACGTTGACTGCAGTTGTGTTCGTCTATGCATTCCGCCCTCAGTTGTGTGCTTTCATTGCGAGCCGATCCGAACACGTCCCACCGACAAACATTTTTCCCATGTTTTTTGTGAAACAGGCGCATATTAATCTATTCACGTAAGCATGCACTGCGGACTCATGGTCCCAAGACATCCATCGATTAGTATCTAATTTTAAAGGTAGCCAAGGGTATCGGGAGGGACTGAGTGGAAGGCGCAGTACGTCAGTTATCGGTTTCGCATTTCGGTAACGGCTTCTTTCACCGTCTTAACAATTCATTGAGTTAACACTTTCCATTTGGCTAAAAAATTTTACACACAAGCATCACTTGTCCATGAGAAACCTTTCGTCAGGTTACACTTTCTTTCCACTGCATAGCCACTTACTGACAAACACTAGCCAGGTCATAACAGGCTGAGTTGTGCTAAAACCTCTGTTAAAAATGACAGATGGTGGTATAAGTGTCAGCCAATTGTAAAACAAAGAATGAAATGCCACGCTTGTCCGGCTCACTGGTATTTCAAGAGTTTCAAAACGGTTTTCAGGAATTGTCAGATGAGTCGAATTTTTATTTTTCCTTGTCCTTCGTCTGCGCCAGTTGCCTGTAACTCGGGGCCGTTATGCCCTCCGCGGCTAACTGGACACCCACCGGCAACGAAACAAAATCCACATTTTCAAGTCGGGAGTGTGAGTGCAAAAGATCCCATTCATTCAAAAATGTGAACGGTAGACTGGTGGTTTTTCAAAAGACCTGTGGACGCAGGCTGGAGGAACAAAATTGCCTGGATGGTGATGGCTTATGAACTCCACCGTCGGGAAGAATTGGGTGCACTCTCTATCTCTTGTTCTATGGCCTCCAATCTAGCAAACTGAATCAGCAACTAAGATAGCCAGGGCCTTGCTGGTAAACTCATGTAAAAAAAACTAGACAGGTTGCCCTGCCTCTCGTTTTATTTAACTGTGGTATCAGCAAACTTAGCGAAGTATCGATCACTACTGCTCATAACTGGACTGTAAAGGAGTTTGTATAAGAGTTATAGACTACTTATAAGGCCGCTGAAAATTCTTCGACAATCCGCGACCAGTTCCCTCCTATTAGGGCCAGTCAGGTAAGCGTTTCCTGCAAACTTATGTTCTACTTGAATGACAATGGGATTGATTCTGAAAAATACACTCCGTTGCTAACTAATGCATCATAAACGAGAGATCTAGCTGGGTTCCAGGCGAGTCACCCGGAAAACCACATTTACTTGCAGATTAGTGTATTTATTGAATACGAACCTCTTGGTGCAGAATGGATAGAGGAATTTCTCTGCTTTTTTGTCCACCGCATTTGGACCGTGCCAGTTCATGCTTTAGCCTATTTTCCGACCATTAGTGTGGACGCCCCGATTCCGTGCGTCCTTGAGGACTCATCTGCTAGTAATAATTGTATCCCTCTAATCAACACCCGCTATCGTTCAGCTAAATTTCACCACACTCTCGTTCTCTACCCCATTGCTTGTACGACCTTCGTATACATCACTGTGATGTGGCTCTCTCCTAGCACGCCCAATGCTCTTACCTCCCTTCGGGGATACGCCAACTTCTGTTCCCAATCGTTCTCAACGCCACGGTGGTGGCTGCCTTATATGCTCTGAAACTGACGTGAACGTCCCGCTATTGGTGATGAACTACCGACTCTGGCTTTATGCATGTGAAACTAATCCGCCGTTCATCCTCGGATTCTCATACATGCACCCTCTACACTCCAGTATCTTGATTAACTGAATATGCACGCTCCTTCATCACACTAAGGCTCTATCTCATCCAAACAAATTAATCGTTGGTTATCTCAACCTTCTTGAGACCATCTGGTCTCAACAAAATTCCCCTCTGCACTTTTTGCCTCCGCTTGTCCATCTTGATGTCGAAAGCTTATCCAAGGTTGCACGGTATCAAATGCGTGGTCTCTAAGCCCCGGGCGTTGCACGTGTTGACGGTTATCTATGTCCCACCACCGCAGTTTGTCCGGAGTTCCACGATAACGCCCATCCTTTTGTCACTTGCAGCTGGAATAGTACTCAGTCTCCTCCTAACCCTCTCCCTTGAGCTAATTCATCCTTTTCCTTGGCACCCTTAGATCCTTTGTGATCTTACGCCACAAAATCCGAGAAGCGTAAAGCATGGCCGACGTTTTTACGCCAACGTGCTATCATCACTATGTCTAAATGCTCCAACAAGAGCCTCTTATGCTTCTGGTTGTCGTTCGGCCAGAGGATAAACCACACTTAGCCATAATATTAGGAAGGATCGTAAGCCCTCCCGTGGATCCTAAGAAGTTTTTTCTGCTAATACGTATTACCAAACTTATGCCTAATTCTAGCACTGACAAATGAGCCCTTTAGAATCACGAGGAATACACCGTCGTAGCACATTGTCTTCAATCCAAATGCTGGCACACATTTGTCAGAGGCGTTTCCCATATGAATTCTTTATCCTTCTAGTCATCTAACTCCTGCCTTCCTTTTGCCGTCCCAAAATTCCAAGCACTCCCTTATCAACTCCGGTTTCCTACTGGGAGGCTTGTTCTTAGTGGATTCTCCGTTAACTCTATTCCCGAAGTGAGAGAACTAGGCGTCAAGTTTTCCCGTGCACTTAGTATTTCTCGCATGCATGGCACTAAGTGGCTAGAGCCCTTTCGTTCGCCGATCCTTCCAAAGTAAATCATGTTTAATTGCAATTTTTAAGTAGTTTGTGAGGTCCATTCTTGAATCAAGCGATGAATTCGCCACACGGTCTTCGCAAACATGCTGGGCTGCTGTTTAAAATGTGCAGCGCTCGTCTACTAGTCCTTGCTTTCCGCACCATCCACACTGCTATATCATCTTCGCCGATTGTCTCTTGGGCTGGGCTATTTTGGTGTGAGATTCCAGCCGATTTTCGCGCCACGGCTCAGATTGGAAACTCTCTTGAATAAAGGCCCTAAGCCTTTCAAATTTCCATTCTCCTCGCAGCTGTCCTGTTGCCTTGTCCTAGCTTGTACTCTTACCGGGTTGAATCGTCTAAGGTGGACCTACAAGTGAGACAACTATCCACTCAAAAATTCGGTTTATAAATCACCCTATTACCCACCTACTGGACGGACCTTCACTTTTTGGACCTAATTAGGCGCCTACTTTCTGCACCGCAGTTGTTGCAGGGAGTGTCTAGAGCCCGCCGTCGTAATCGTTTTCACGCCCATCGCCGTTGACTTCTTTGTATTTCCTTGCCTGAGGCCGAAAGCTTCTGCGCCCAGCCAACTTACTGCTAGTCCATCCAAGCCTGGCAGCGCACGGAGGCAAGTCGCCCCTAGTAACCGAGCATCACATCGTTTGGACGGGTAGCACGTTCGGAAAACGGACTAAACAGAGGCATGCTATGATTGGTCAGCATATCAGCCAATCCGGGTCGGACATCTTTGACTCGACACTTCTCGCCACCTCACGGAGATTCTGCCACAATCTTGTGGAACCCTCTTTGGCTACTCTCTAAATACAGTTGTGATAATTTCCCTGTC